GAGGTGGAGGAGGAGGAGGAGGAGGAGATTGGATTTATACCCCGCCCTTCACTTGGAGTCTCAGAGCAGCTTACAAATTCCTTTCCCTTCCCCTCCCCACAACAGACACCCTGTGAGGTGGGTGGGGCTGAGAGAGCTCTGACACAAACTGCTCTTTCAGCAACAGCTGTGCCAGAGCTTGTGAGTGACCCAAGGTTACATCAGCAGGTGCAAGTGGAGGAGTGGGGAATCAAACCCGGTTCTCCCAGATTAGACCACTACACCAAACTGGCTTTCCAGGTCAGGGAACATAAATACTTAAAAGGGTATAAACTTACTTTTAATTCACTGACACGTCAATGGAAAATGTTATGCAAAATTACAAAGTTTCCAGACCTGCTTAGTGTTGTGTGTGTCATCCGAACGTTATCCCACAGGCTAGACATAGCAAAATGTGCCCTGTTGCCCGCTGCACTACTGGGCAAGTTTTCTCAGGGTTAGGGTTAGGGTTAGGGTCCAGTCTTTTCTGTATAGGGCTTAAAGTACTGTGAACCTGCTGCAAAATACATCTCAGAAAAGATCATGTTGGGTCACACAAATATGAGGGTTTTTTTCCATTTTCCTGAGAGGGCGCTATAAAAAGCTGCCTTAAAAGTCTCTGAGAAATTATTTGTATGCCATAAGAGAGATGATTCCATTAAAAAAAGAGAGCTCTGGAGAGGGACACATCTCTAGCTTATCCTGCAATGGACCAGATAACCAGGGTTCTTTCCATCTGAGGGGAAACTTGTTCCCTACTACGCATGTGAGAGGAGGGGAAGCAGCTTGGACGTTTCCTGCAACATTAGAGGAAGCCCCTGACATGTGCCACACGGACTGTCAGTGGCCATTCATGCAAGCAGAGGAATTTTTCCTTACATCAGGAGCAGGTCACTATGTCTCCTGAAGTCCCTATCCGAACAGGTGTCATGTGTGAAAGCATGTTGGTCGGGGCTGCATGTTGTGGGTCGAGTGTTTGTTATTTAGATATGTGGCCGAAGCTTCTGTGTCCATGCAGAATCCAGCAGAAGAAGCTGCACACTTCTGCAAGGATAGCTTTTGAGATTTCCCCCTAACCATAACTTGGGCATATCCCAATTTATTTTCTGAGTGCAGAGTCACCTCCAGTTCCTAAGATGGACATCAGCCCTGGAGATATCCGAGAAGGGTGGACGAGAGTGACCTGCTCTGTACCGTACCATTGCCCTGAGGAACCACTAAGACTGACTATCAGTGGCTTAGGAGGGACTCGTTTGTCTTCACAAAGAACGACGAGCAATAATGGAGTGATCCAAACAGTCGTGAATTTGCAAATGAGCTGGGAGGACCATGGGAAGTCTCTCATCTGCTCCCTGAAAAAACGGAATTGGTCGGAAATATCCAAAAGCACCATGCAGCTGGATGTGAAATGTGAGTTTTGTGTAAGGAGGAGGGATCTGGGCACAGTGGGTGGGGAGAGACCCTGAAAAGAAGATATTGCCTGACCTGAACAAAATACACACTGAACTTGATTAGCCTCAATGCCAACTGTGAAAGCTGGGTCCAGTAGAGTGTCATAGAACAAGGACATTTGTAATGTAATTCAAAGACGAAGTACTTTATTGGGAGGACAAATACTGCTGTATGTGTAAACAATAAAAGTCTGCCTCTTGTTCTGGACATCTTGAATACCAACACAGCTTCAGCATACAGAATGCATTAAGGAAATGTTGTTAATATGAAGGAGGTTTTTTTAAAAATTTGTAGTGATTTGTTTCTGTTTCTAAGTTCTCAGTTGTCCCCAAATGTGGGGATTTGAATCAGGGAAACCCAAATTATAGCCTAGGCCTAAACCCAGAGGATTTCCCTTTGTTCTGTGATAGCACAATCAAATTTTAATCGAGATGGGCTAAAAAGATTTACTCGCCATTGCATTCAAAACGGGAAAAGGGGGAGAGGAGAAAGTTGAAAGAGGTATCCCACACTTTAATGCAACATATCCTTTGTGTGTGTGTGTGTTTGCAGTGCCCTGAATATACATGAGTGCATCCACTGTATCATTAGAAGGCCCTTAAAGCTAGACACTAACAGCTGAGCTTTTGTGATAGGTTCTCTTGGTAATCTTCTTTTGTGGCCACACTGTGTAACTCTTCTTGTTGGATATCATCTCGATCAGTTACATGAGCGGCCAGCCTTCCCTCTCCTGCCACTTTTCACTCAGTGTTTTCCTCTTGGTTCTGCTGCAACCTCACTAAAGCTGTGAAAAGCAAAATGGACAATTTAAAAAACAACAACGTCTGGACAGTTTCTTAAAATAAAACTGTGGCCAAGATAGCTTTCCCCAAGATATCTGGAAACGAGTGATTGCCATTGTTTTCAGCAATGGACTGGATAGTACCAACAACAAGGAAAATAGATTTTGGCTATTTGATTACTTAATATTGGAGTGCACATCTCAGGTCCTGGGACCCGCTGCCTTCATTGCCTTTATTGTTGAGGGACAGTCAGGTTCAGAAGTGGTACTTTATCATCAGGCAGTTCCTATGGATCAAATTTTATGTAATGCAATTTTCTCAGATGCTACCGCCCCCCGATAAAACAAGGCATATGCTCCCCTCAACATATCCAAAGGGTACCACATTTCAAGTCAGAACGCTTGGTAGTCACAGCGAGGAAAAGATCGGGCTAGTGCTTCAAATTGTTTTAAAGGGATAGGGGCACAGTGGGGGACAAATGTATCTCCTAGTGACATGTGGATATTGCATGCGAATATTTGTAAAGGAGTGCAGTATATAACATGAGAATTGTTGGTGCTATAGTCATGCATGGCCACAGAGAGTGTCAGTGAGTTGTATGTTGGTTTTATTTCTAGTTTCTTCCAGCACATTTTTAAACAGTTTATCTGACTTCTGCGTCTTTCTCCTACTGGTTTCTTATTTCAGATGCTCCTAAAGATGTTCGGGTGATAGCTTCTCCTGGAACGATCATGCGAGAGGGAGAGACACTTTCTCTGGAGTGTAGGACCAAGAGCAGCAACCCAGAGGTTTCTGAGTACCTTTGGTATAAGGATGATCAACTGATGGATGACCAGCCAAAGCTCAAAAGAATTGAATTTGAAACCGAAGGAGACAAGCATTCCGGTGCTTATAGATGTGAGGCTAAGAACAGTGTTGGGTCCCTGAAGTCAGAAGAACTCCGCATAGATGTCCAGTGTGAGTTGATTCATTGAGATGGTGCAATGGATGGAATGTTGAATGTGGGAATCATTGACATAACAGCAGGGGACTCTCTTCAAGCTTGTGATGCCAGCCTCTTCCATTCCCCAGTTCTTCCCAGATAAAACCAACTCTTCTGAGAGGAAATCTGCTTTTGCCCCCACAGCCAGAATAACGAGACGGAAAACAGTTTGGATCAAACAAGGGCCACTTTATTAACTATATACAATTTATTAACAATAACCGGCAAGGGAGCACTTCCTAGGTAGCGGAACAGACAAGGCAGGTGTCAGGCTGACCAGCCTCCTTGTCTAATATGTGGGCGAGCCACCAACTCCGGTCTTGAGCCATTAATCTGGCTTGCGACCAGCAGCCCAGCCACTGGTAGCCTCCCAGGAGCGCCTACCCCTGAAACCCTACAGCTTGCAGAGAGGAGCTTACCCAAGAGGTTCCCAGAGGGGATCCTCATTCACGGCCCAGGGCCTTAATAGCCCACAGGCCGTTCCTGAAGACCCCCCAGTTCCCAAAACACGGGATGGCTTAAGGTGCTCACCATTTTCCGCTTCCTTATCCCTGCCCTATTCTGCCAAAGTGACCAACCTATTTAACAGCCACGCCCCTACCCGTTGTTCCACTGCTCCAAAGCAATAGGCTATTAAACTGTATATTATGAGGTTTTCTCTGGGAAGTTCCCCAACTTGCATGTATTTCTCTCTCCTGCAATTGCCGAGGCAGTATCCTTATTGTCTCTTATTATCTCTTCAAACTGGGATTTCTGCCAGCACTTCAACTTTACAGCTGTTAAATTGTTTAGAAAGTTGAAGGTTGTTGTTAGCAATTGCTAAGAAATCCTGATAGTAGCCAAAAAAATAAAAATCCACGGAGCCGTACCTTTAGCGTCTTTATCGGGCGTCGGCCAAAAAACTTCCACTGCTCCAGTGTAAGGTAGGCGAAAACACTACCACCCCATTGCCAATCCTGCGTAATAGTGAAAAATTACTACCTGGCCCCCTTGGGTGACCAGCCTCAGCCTACACTAGAAAACAGGGCGGGTGGGCGCGGGCGAGCACGAGGCAGCAACTGGCATTCGGCAGGAGCAGAGCCGAGCCTAACCAGGCTGGCTCCTCCCACCCCACATCCCAGTGCTGTTGCTGTCCCGTCTTCCCCCGCGGCAGCAAACCAGCCCTTGCCGCCATTGCCTTCGGCGGCGACCGGGAGCTCCCTTGCCCCCACAGCCGGAATAACGAGACGGACAACAGTTTGGATCAAACAAGGGCCACTTTATTAACTATATACAATTTATTAACAAAAACCGGCAAGGGAGCACTTCCTAGGTAGCGGAACAGACAAGGCAACCCTTAACCGCCCCATGGCTAGGAGCCCATTGCAAGGCTCCTGGGGGAGGTGCGGACGATTGCACCCCCTCCCAACCACTGGCTCACGAACCGCATCCCCGGGAGCTCCCTGGGAACGCGGCCGCCATTGAGATGCTATAAACCAGAAGCCTCCAAAACTATGATAATATTGAACTAGCCAATTGTAGACCTTCTGTGCTATCTCCAGATCTGTTGTGTCTCTTTTTCAATAGGTACAGCTCGCTTTTCTACTGGCTGCAATAATTGTTTAAGCACATCACTCTGTTCCGTTCTCCAGCTTCTGTCCTCTCCTGTCCCTCAGTGGAAATAGAGCTTTTTGGCCTTTGAAGAACTGACAGGAAATACTTGAAGTAGGATTCCTAATTTCAGCATCTATATCTTCTGCCTAGATCCACCTAAGGAGGTTAAAGTCGAGAGGAGGCCACCAGGGATTATCAGGGAAGGTGAAAAAGTGGAGTTGCAGTGCTCTTCTCGAGGAAATCCACCAATCTCCCATTATGAGTGGTATAAACTTCCACAGACTGATGTATTCCGAAACAGTGACCGGCTGCACTTCAATGCCATTCATCTCGAAAATGCTGGTACCTATTATTGTGTAGCCAACAACAGCCTTGGCCAGTCTGAATCTTCACCAGTCACTCTGGATGTTCTTTGTAAGTAGCAACAGATGTAAGAAGTGGAGTGTGCATGAATGCAAAATGTGTGTTGGTTTGAAGGAAGCAGGTGACATAGGTGGGGCCACCAGCAAAGGGGGAAGTGCCTGCATCTCTAGACCTGCCTGGTTACTCAGTCCTTACTTCAGTTGTTATCTGTAGCTGCAAGGGGGCTGGTAACCTATGAAGTATGGTATGCGATGCAGTAAATGCAGAAGCAGTTTGCTATAGTCATTAGTCAATGCATTTACTTGGAAAAGCAATGTTTTTGGGGGGAGCAATGCATGATAATAGCCACCTGGGTGTCTTCCAAGATCAGTTCCCATGAGTACGGGGGGTATTTGAGAAAAAGAAATAACTTGGTTATTGAGCTGTTTGTGAAGTGTGTTTCATTACAGCCAATTCATTTTCCAAAACTGGACTGAGAAATGACATGTGGACTGTGGACAGTTTGTACAGGGTGTAGATCAAAAACCCCACTTAGAATTTTATCACAGCACCTCTTTCCAAGCATTGCTTTTCTTTTCCTGTCAATGACATCTCTGCTACTGTCCATGTTCAGTACGTACATAGTACAACAAGCATATGGTGTGAAACAATTGGTCCATTGCAGGGTAGGAGTTGGTGTGTTTGTGTGCGTACTTATCGGGGTGGGGGGATAGCTATCACAGCATGATGATATCACTTCTGGCATGACCCAGAACTGCTGGCATTGCATCAGGGCAACATTCTAGTGCTCACCCCTAAACTCTTATGGGCAAGTGCCACAGCGTTGCCCCAATATAATGCCCTTGATTTTGTATCGCATAGGAAATGATGTCATTGTGCTGTGACGACAATCACTGCCCCCCATTTGGCTGGCCTGATTCTGTCCAGTGACCGGCAGTGCCTGGTGGGCAGTGGCTGTGATTGCTGGGAGTTTGCACACCATTAGCAGGCTCTTAAAATCAGAGAACCACAATGCCACAGCTGCTAAAATGGAATCCAAAATAAGGCACAACATTAAAAACTTATACGCAAATCCCTTTCTACAGGCAAAATGAAGTTGTTGCCCATTATTTAAAGGTCTGGGTGAAAAGGAGGGAGAGACTGGCACTGAAATGATAACAGGATGGTGCCAGGATGATCAGATTTCTCTGTGAAAGGAATTCCAAAGCTGGGTCATCACCAGTCAGAAGACACTCTGGCTGGTGACCACCTTCACCCTTTTCTCCCTGAGCAGGACAATTGGTGTGGCAGCTGCATTAACTGAAAAGGAGAGGTGGAGCTGGAAGTATTCTGTACCTCACTCTGACATACAGGTTGCATCAGGAATGATTTTTTTTGGGAAAAGAGGTGCCGGAACTCTCAAGAGTGAAATGAAGTTTTCAGTCTGTATACTGAAAACTCATGAACTTTTAAACATTTAAAAAAGAATTTTGTTGAACAGGTTCAGGGACTCCGCTCTGGCATGATCCCCCAGAAAAAAAAGCCCTGGGTTGCACCACCTTGGGGTAAAACCTGAGCCCTGTGGCAATACTACAGCATGCAATCAAAGTATGCATCATGTTGTGGGGGGGGGGAAATAGCTCCCCACCACCATCTTCTGGAATTGACCTGCAAGGCAGGAGTGGAAATGTGGCTGTGCTGTGTCTCTCACTCCCAGTCCAAGCTTCATTCACCCATTGTTGGATATGACCCTATTGTAGTGCTATAGCAATTGCTTGTGGTTAAAGTCAGTTGAGCTGTGATTGATTGCTATAGCTCAGGAATAGTGTAATATCCAGTGTGGATGCAGCTCCAAGCAGGTGATCTGGGATGATGCTATTGTCAATGGTATCGAATCCCCTGAGTGGTACAGGTAAGTCAACAGGTGCATTGCCTTTGTATTTCAACCTATGCAGGTTGTCAGTCAAGAGCTGTGAAACCTGGTTTAGTCACTCAACACATGACGCTGCTTTTACTGAGCCATCAAAGTCAGCCTTGTCTACTCTGGCACCATCTCTCCAGGGTCTCTGGTAGAGGTCCTGCACATCACCTGCTACCTGGTCCTTGCAACTGGAGATGTCAAGGATTGAACCTGGGACCTTCTGCATTCAAATAAGATGCTCTATCACTGAGCCAAAGCCCCTCCCCCAAAACTCTGTATAATTCAGCAATGATTGGAGTGGATTGGCCAATGCTGGCTGGGGCAGCTTCCCCAGAAAGGAGAGATTGGCTACTAGCTGCTAGTTTGGTTGATTGTTGGCCTTGAATGGTGGCTCTTAAAAGAGTGTGGTCCTATGAGTTTTTATGCTCAGTGTTTTTGTAGTGCTTCCGCCAGTGTTGTTAATTCTTAATTTTTTTTAGGATTTTATCTTGGTTTAGATTGTGTGCCATCTCTAGCAGGTTTCTGGAGAAACAAACATGGACCTTTCTTTCAAGCAGTAATAGATACAGATGTTCAACATTAGCTATTTTTAATTGAATCTTTACAATGCCTGGTTATTCTCCAGTTCACTGTAACATCGTCACCACCTGCATCTTCCATAAAGAAACACTCTGATCTGATTTCCCAGATGCTCCCAAAGATGTCCAGCTTGCCATTCAAAATGAACAGCTGCCCATAAAGGAGGGAGACACCGTCAGGCTAAGCTGTTCGTTCAGTCGCAGTAACCCTAGCAGTGGTATCTGGTACAAATGGTATAAAGGTCAATCAAGGCTATCAAATCAAGGAGACCTGCTGATCTTCCCTGCAAACTTAGAAAAGGCTGGTAATTACACCTGTGAAGTCTGCAATACCGTAAAATGTGTTCCAGCTCAACCAGTCACTGTGGATATACACTGTGAGTAATACCATTGAATGTTCTTCTTGTAATTCCTGAAAAAAACTTTCACTGGTAAACAGAAAATGTTCACAGCAGGTGGGAGGGAGATAACAGGAGGAAGCTGCTTTCAAGCAGTGAACTCCTTATTTATGGGGCTAGTGCAGAGAATCACTAACTGAGCATGCGGAGAGGCCAGTGTGGGAGGTGAAGCACTGTCTGTTGATGTGACGTTTGCAATGCCAGACCTTTGGTAGCTGGGTAGCATGTGAAGGGAGAAAAGGTGAACTGTGAATGAGCCATAGTGTACCCATGTTAGCAAAGGCCAAGCAGAGAACTGAGGGGAACGTTTGACCCAGTGATGATCCAGCACTGTCATCTGTGCTTTTAGCTGAAGTCTGCTGAAGTCTACATTCTTTGCCTCATAGGGCATACTAACCTTTAACTCATATCTGATTCTTGAACATCACAATCAGTGATTCTTCTTATGCTAAAAGAGTGATAAAAATAAGAAGGTAAGGACAGTGGTGGGACCCAAATGTCACAAGAACTCATCATAGATGTCCAATGCAAGTTGATTCACCGAGAGAGTGCCAGAGACTCAGTTTGTGTGTGTGGGGGGTTCATGAACATATAAAGGGTGTTGTCTCTCTTTGGTGTTTGGTGTAGTGGTTAAGTGCGCGGACTCTAATCTGGGAGAACCGGGTTTGATTCCCCACTCCTCCACTTGCACCTGCTGGAGGACCTTGGGCAAGCCATAGTTCTGACAAGAGCTGTCCTTGAAAAAGAGCAGTTTCTGTCAGAGTTTTCTCAGCCCCACCTATCTCACAGGGTGTCTGTTGTAGGGAGGGAAAGGGAAAGGAGTTTGTAAGCTGCTCTGAGACTTCCTTGGGTAGTGAAGGGCAGGGTATAAATCCAATCTCTTCTTCTCTTCTTCTTCTTCTTCTTCTTAAGTGCCAGCCACTTCCATTCTCCTTCTCAAGATGGTTAATCATATATTACACCCCCAAAGCTGCTGCTTCTTTGTCCTCGTGCTAGTCATGGTGTGTAACTGTCATAAATGGAACGTAGAATAGAAAAGAAAGCCAGTCAGTGTAGGGTTTAAATTGACACTACAGAGCATTTAAAGGGTTAGATGATATACATTCCCTATGGGAAAACCCCTTGGCTACCAAGTGAGGCACAGAACCTGCTCACCAGAGTAATTGCAAGGAGGATTGTGCCTTCAGGAAAGACTGCTCAGTCAAAGGCACAACAAAATGCCATCCTCCAACTGAATGGAATTCTCCCCATAGAGCAGTAATGTCATGATATCGAACTGAATTGAAAACTCTTTGAAAATAGTACAAAATACCCATGTATGGTTTTTCAAGGCAGTTAAATTAAGGGCCCCCCCTTGCTCTGGTTTGGTTCGTGTCCTGTTTGCCAGAGGTGAACAAGGCGCTGATTTTTCAACAGATTGTTCTTCTGACCAGTTCATGGCTTTCAGCAGATTGATACATGGCCTTCCTTCCTAACAATGCAATTTGGTGCAATTAGCCCTCTTGCTACTGAAGGGCTTTTTGAGTTTTTTAAAAAATAGTAACCAGAAAGAGCCAAAGGACTAGGCAGGCAGCCACAGATCACTGGAAGCCCTCCTTAACATCCCTCTGCCTTCTGTGATTCCATCTGTAGCAAAAATGGATCAGTTCGATCACCCTTGAACCAAGCTTGAAGAATTCAGTGAATGGAAGCTACAATCCATGACATCACAATAGTGTGGCTGATATGGGCAGAGGTCTAACCCCACTGGCTCCAGGCAGAAATCACGGGTCTTCTCTGGAGCATGTAGCATGTTTTCTTTGTAATGTAAGACAGAAACTCCATCAAAGGTTGTGCTCCCCCAGCCCAATTTGAGAAAGCACACGGCAGTCTTGTAGAGGAGAATCAGATCTTGTACTTTATTGATCAACAAAGGAGGGAGGTGCAGACCCAATAAGGTTTTGGACCCCGCAGTTCTCCCTAGGGTTACAATGGGAGACATAGGGTTTTATACCCCCTATGACACTTAGAAATAAATCACAATTATTGGTTCCGTCAAACTTTGTCACATATTCGTCACACCATTCTGATTGGGCTCCAACCTGTAGGCTGGTATTTTACCCACAATGCATTTAAGCAATGAACCAGAGTGAATATCTGAATATATGTTCATGATAGATTTCAGTTACTGTGATTAGAATCATCAAAGGCACTTAACATATGCACCATGAAAGCGTTAAGAGCACCTACTAAGGTAAATGGACTGTTAGCCAGTGGCAGAGTACTGGTTCCATAAGCAGTGTGTACAACAGTAATGAAAAGGTTCTTAAAGGAATGAAGACTGAAGTGATTGAAAGGTTCCGGTCTTTGTTCCTAGCTCACTCCCAGGATGCATCAGCCCCTTCTACCTCTGGACCCAAACCCACAGCAGAGAGTGGTAAGTGTATCAATGTATGCTGAACAGGATGAGCGAATTAAATGGGGAAAAACTTAGGGCCATAGCGTTGCTAACTCCATGTGGGGAACTTCCTGGAAATTTGGAGGTGGATCGTGGGGAGGGTGGAGTCTGGGGAGGGGAGGGATCTCAGCTGGGTAAAATGCCATAGAGTCCACCCTCCAAAGCAGCCATTTTCTCCAGGGGAACCGATCTCTGTGGTCTGGAGAGCAGCTGGGATTCTGAGGTTGGCAACCCCACTTGGGAGAATGGGGAAGCTAGAGTATGAGGGAACGGCTACAGGAAGTGATCTGAAGTGGAGAGAGAGAGAGAGAGTTAAAGAGTCCAGGACTTATGTAATGAAGACTTTCCCTTATTACTCCTCTCCCAGTTAAGAACTACCCACATAAAGCAGTAAGTAGAGAATACGTCTCTGAGGGTGTTTATTATGTGATTTTGACACTTGGACATCTTTGTGGGTATGTGAGCTAATACGTGTTTCTACCTTCTTTGGCAGAAGGACCTCAGTCTTCTCCACCGCCTCCCTCCACTCCTGAAGGTGTATCCTCCCCCTTGCCTTCAACATCCTGTCCCCCTTGCCTGTCTGAACTGCCCCCATCAGGGGTCCCCGTCCCTCCTCTCCCATCTTCTCAGACACCTTGTGATGGCAGAACCGTGGGGGAGGAATTCAGTTTCCTCAGTGAATCGCTGGACCAGGTTTTAAAGGCCCGTAAGTGTTACCTGTACAACAGACACCAACTTTGCTTCAACACTGATCATCAAACATTTGCATAGTGCTCCAGAAGGTTCAGGTTGCTTCACATCTATTGTCTCAATAATCATTAGCATAATCCTGTAGAGTAGGTCTGTATTAGGTCTCGCGTTAACCCATCAGAGGTAGGGAATTACCGCTCCCAATTTCTCACTCCTGAGATATGAAGGAGTCGGAGAAAAAAAATGGACTCCACATAGTGATGCTCTAGGAATTGCTCCTTAGTCTCTATGGTAAAGTCCGTAGAGATAAGAGGAGACAGTCTAGATGGTCACCCAGAAGTGACACTGTATCCTCCTCAAATCTGCCCACCCAAACCTCCCTGGATTTTTCAAGGCAAGGCCGGGCACCCTGGCCTGTATTACATTTGCAAATATTATTATTACGAGCAAATGGAGAATGGGAGGGAGGGAAGGAAAGCAGCGTGGTGTAGCCTGATCTTGTCAAGTTTTGGAAGCTTAGCAGGGTCGGTACTTGGATGGGAGACCACCAAGGAAGACTCTGCAGAGGAAGGGAATGGCACAGAAACTCTGACTCTCATTTGTCTCAAAATCCCTTTGCTGGGGTTGCCATAAGTCGGTTGTCACTTGATGGCACTTATGTTTGTATGAGGTGTTGGGCCCCCCACAAAGCACTGGGAAATTACCCCTTGGTCCTAATAGTGCTATATTCTATGAGCCTTTAGGGCAGGATAATTCCCATCTGCTCCTTTCCCTTTCTTCTCTACCTCCTTTAAGCTGTCCTGAGCACCCTTCGGTATTCAGCCAATCCAGTTTACTATTAGAAGGAGTGATGAGCATTCCCATTCTGAAGACAGGAGGGACTGGCTGAGACTGTGACCAATTAAGACTATCTACTGGGTTAATGGATGATGCAGAATTTGAACCAGGGATCTCCTGGTTCCTGGTTTACACCTGAGTCTCTCAGCAACTATGTTGTCCTCAGCAGATCATGCCTGGGAGAGATGTTCCACATGTGCCAATCATAGCCATGTCTTCTTTGATTGGCTAGAAGAATGGATGATGGGAGTGGCCCAAAAGCCCAGACAACCAGCCGATCCTTTCATAACCAAACAGTTGGCAATTTGCTGCCCCTTAATAACAAATATATGGTGGGCTGCCTTACCCTGCCTAAGATTAGGATCAAGCCAGGCTGGGCATGACATGAAAAGCCACATTATGTATAATTCTGAGAATGTGTGATCAGATCTACTGATATGTGCCTGGCTTTACAAAGCAGAAAGTGGGGTAATTTGGATCAGGACAAAGGACTGGGCCACTATGCCTCTGCACTGTTTTCCTGGTTAAAATGGTGGTGCTAATCCCAGCATGCCTGTGTGTATTGGAGGTGGGGAGGACACGGATTGAGATTATATTGTTCTTTTTTGGTAAAAGGGTTATTAAGAGCCTGAAGGCATTATGCCTGGGAAACTTGCAAGAAGGTGCCAATCCAGATGCTTCATGAGCTTGAAGCCCACTTTGGAAAATTCGGTTATGGTATCTCTGCGTGAAGTGTCATTTGGCTCTGAATTTCCCCATTTCTTTTTCTTTTTTCCCCCTTCAGAAAACCAGTTTATTCATAGTTTCCAAGAGTTAACATCTGCAGTGGTCCAGCTCACTCAAAAGTTTCAGGAAGCATTGCTTCAAAAAAGGCAGAAGACTTGTGTGGTTCCCAGCGAGATAAAGAAGCAGTAGAGGAGAAAGCCAGATGTCAACCCTTTCCCACATCCATTTCAATTCCTTGGCATGGTTGCCCATTCTTTTCTTTTTTTTAATAACTGCCCCCAAAGGGGCAGGGTTTTATTAAATTTTTCACATAACATACACAAACAATCATAACATATACATACTTACTAACATACAAACAAATACATGGGGGTTATTTTCATTTTTACCAATGTTTATACTGATGCCTAATCCACCTTAATAACAATTTCTGATGAACTGTGTAAGCAACTTTTCTGTCTGTATCATCCTAACAGGTATATATTTCATTTAGTAAACTCTTAGTCTGTCTCTTGCAAGCTTGCTGACATATGTTTATCATACTAGTTATAGAACCGTGACCAAGTATTCTGGAATGTCGAGTCTGTTGCGCCTTTTATCAATAAAGTCAATTTATCCAATTCTGCAGCCTCCAAGATTTTGTTTACAAGTTCTCGTTTTGTTGGTATCTCCGGTAATTTCCAATATTTTGCATAGAGAATTCTGGCAGCCATAGTTAAAAAAAAACAATCAAATAACCCATTACCGCCCTTTGATTGTTTTTTTAACTATGGCTGCTAGAATTCTCTATGCAAAATGGGCGGTAAATATGAATAAAGAAATAATGATGTCATCTTGGGAATATTTATGGGAAAATGCACTGAAAATATCAACATGTAATAATCTAAAAGAAAACTGTTATAAGATGATGTATAGATGGTATATGACACCAAAAAAGATTGCCAATATGAATACTAATATGTCAAACAAATGTTGGAAGCGTAAAAAGGCTGAGGGCTCGTTTTATCATATGTGGTGGACTTGTGAAAAAGCTAAAAAAAATTGGGTTGAGATTCATGCAGAAATGGAAAAAATTGTGAAATGTAAATTTAAAAAAGAACCAGAAATATTACTTTTGGGACTAAAAATGGAAGAGGTCAATGTGGCAAAAAGAACATTGATGTGGTATATGATCACAACTGCCAGAATGGTATATGCCCAATGTTGGAAGCAAGATAAAGTCCCGGAGATTGGAGATTGGATTAAAAAATTACTTTTTATGGTTGAAATGGACAAAATGACAAGAAAACTTAATAACATGGAAGCAGAGGACTTTTTAGCAAATTGGAAAGATTTAAAAGACTATCTGGAAAAGAACTGGGATGGACGAGACAATTTATTTTGCTTTGGTAACTACTGAATGTTAAAGTTTAGCAACATGGAATAAGAAATAGAGAAATTTATATATGAAGAGATTAGTTACCTATTGAACTTATAATGAAAAAGGGAAGGATGAAGGAATGTAAGAATTTTGCAGGAGGTTGTAGCACTGTGGGAAGCCATGTGGGGGGGGGGGAAGGGAGGAGGGTTGGATGAAAATGTATTACAAATGTTGATTTTGAGTGATGATATCCTAAATAAAAATTGCTTAAAAAAACAAGAACAATCAAATAGCGATCATCTTTGTTAGAATTATCAGGTAGAATATTCAACAACAAAGCCTCTGGTGTAAATGGTACTACAGTACCTAGTACCTTTTGCAAGATTTCATGTACCATTACCCAATATTTCTTAGATCTTTCACAATGCCACCACATGTGATAAAACGAGCCAACCTTATTTTCACATTTCCAACACTTATTAGAACATTTCGGGTCAATTTTAGCTAACCTTTCAGGTGTTACATACCATCTATAAAACATTTTATATACATTTTCTTTATACGGAATAGCTTTCGTAATCCTAATATTTTTCTTCCATATTTGATCCCACTGCTCTAATTTAATAGTATGCCCAATATTCTGCCCCCATTGAATCATATTCCCTTTTACTATTTCATCCACCATTAAATCATCAAGTAACAACACATAAAGTCTTCGTATAAGCTTCTGATCCGTAGATGTGATAATCTTTTCAATCTCTATAAGGTTTTTGTAAAATCCGATTCTCTTGTCTTTAGTAAATCTGGATTCTATTAGCGCTCTTTGCCACCATGGTAGGTCTTCTAATGGTTTCAAATGATCTTTGGAGTCCAATATATCCAAATACCTTGGTAATTCTTCCTGATTTGCATTTGGGAGTGTAATGGCTTCTAGTGGAACAGTCAGTTTTGAGATTTTTATATAAAAGTGCTTATGTATGTTTTCCCATACTTTCATTAAAGATGCCCATATCCAGTGCTGCTTGAAATATTTATGGACACTTGCTTTTCCATACCATAAGAATGCATGCCACCCTAACTGAAGGTCGTGGTCTTCCAGTTTCAGTGTTCTCTTATCTTCCAATGTGACCCAATCTTTAATCCACGTCAATGCAGCTGCTTTATAATAAAGGTTCCAATTAGGTGGGCCAAAGCCTCCCCTTTCTTTAGTATCTTGAAGAGCTTTCAGTCTTATTCTGGGTCTCTTGTCTTGCCAAATAAATTTTGATAACGCTTGCTCCAGTACCTTGAAGATTTTTTGGTTTTGAAGAATGGGAATTGTTTGGAATAAAAATAGCCATTTTGGAAGTATACTCATTTTAGCTGTTGCGATGCGGCCCATCAAAGATATCTGTAAGTCTTTCCATTTCTCTAGATCCTGTTTTGTCTTCCTGAACAATTCTTTATAATTATTCTCTTGTAATGAGCTGCATTTGTTTGTTCCTAGGAATTTTATTTTCTTCTGTAGTTGGAAACCTGATGTTTCTTGTAGTTGAGTTGTCCTCTACTCTTCCATATTTTGGGTCATTATCTTAGTTTTATTGATATTAATTCTCAAACCAGCTACAAGTCCATAGTCTCCAAGTTCTTGTTTTAAGTGTGATTTCTCATTAACACCCACATTTTGGGAAAAATATTATTCATCCATTAAAAAGAATGTCTTCTTCAAAAATCCAATATTCATTTATTCTGTGAGACTACCAGTTATTTGATGGAGAGCAATGGTTCAGCAAACAATGATTATTCAAATCACTTGGAAGAAATTATCCCCCCCAGTGGTTTCTCTGCTGCTCTGCTGATCAAAGATGGCCTTGAATAAGAACACATGAGAAAAGGAACCCAAGATATATAGACATTCCAAGAGGGGCCTGCTCATAATGTGTATGTTCTAGGGAGCAACAACAGGTATAGTAACAATTGATTGCCACAGTAATGAGATAATACAGAGAACAAGAAAAAAACTGTGAAAAAGTGATACTTAATACATGTCTTTAAAGAATTGTAGAAAAGTGCACAAAATAATATACATAATCATAGAAAAATATATT